ATTGTTAATGACTATTTTTTAACCTTTATAATCTGAATTCTGCCTATTGATTATAATAATAATAATAATAATAATAATAATAATAATAATAATAATAATAATAATAATAATAATAATAATAAAGTTGGAAGGGACCTTGGAGGTCATCTAGTCCAACACCCTACTCAGGCAGGAAACCCTATACCATTTCGGACAAATGGCTGTCCAGTCTCTTCTTAAAAACTTCCAGTGTTAGACATTCACCACTTCTGGAGGCAGGTTGTTCCACTGATTAATTGTTCTAACTGTCAGGAAGTTTCTCCTTAGTTCTAGGTTGCTTCTCTCCTTGATTAGTTTCCATCCATTGCTTCTTGTCCTGCCTTCATGCGCTTTGGAAAATAGCTTGACTCCCTCTTCTTTGTGACAGCCCGAGATATTGGAACACTGCTATCATGTCCCCCCTCGTCCTTCTCTTCATTAAACTAGACATACCCAATTCCAGCAACCGTTCCTTATATGTTTTAGCCTCCAGTCCCCTAATCATCTTTGCTGTTCTTCTCTGAACTCTTTCTAGAGTCTCAACATCTTTTTTACATCGTGGTGACCAAAACTGAATGCAGTATTTCAAGTGTGGCCTTACCAAGGCATTGTAAAGTGGTATTAATACTTCACGTGATCTTGATTCTATCCCTCTGTTAATGCAGCCCAGCACTGTGTTGGCTTTTTTGGCAGCTGCAGCACACTGCTGGCTCATATTTAAGTGATTGTCCACTAGGACTCCGAGATCCCTCTCATAGTTACTACTATTGAGCAAGGTACCCCCTATATTATACCTGTACATTTGGTTTTTCTTGCCTAAATGTAGAACCTTACTTTTTTCACCATTGAATTTCATTTTGTTAGATAGTGCCCAGTGTTCAAGTCTGTCCAAATCCTCCTGTATCTTAAGCCTGTCTTCTGGAGTGTTGGCTATTTTTTTATTATTATTATTATTATTATTTATTACATTTATATCCCGCCCTTCTCCCCGCGGACTCAGGGCGGCCAACAATCAGATAAAATACACACATACAATACACGTTTAAAATTAATTAAAAAGAAATATTTGAGTCTGTTCCAATTAAAAGTAATTAAAACCCCTTTAAAATCCCTTAGGCCAGTCCCGCAAGCTGGAACAACCATGTCTTGAGGGCGCGGCGGAAGGAAGGGAGATCAGGGATTCCTGCCAGCTTGGTGTCGTCTGCAAATTTGATGAGTTCCCCATCTATCCCCTCGTCCAATTCATTAATGAAGATGTTGAAGAGCACTGGGCTCAGAACAGAGCCCTGGGGCACCCCACTACACACTTCCGTCCATGTAGATGCGGTTCCATTGAGGACCACACGCTGAGTATGGCCGGTCAGCCAACTACGAATCCATCTGGTGGTGATGCTGTCTAATCCACATTTTTCTATCTTATCAAGTAGTAGGTTGTGAACTACCGGTACTTTATCAAATGCCTTACTGAAGTCCAAGTAAATTATATCTACAGCATTCCTCTGATCCACTAATTTTGTCACTTGATCAAAGAATGCAATAAGATTTGTCTGGCATGATCTGTTTTTGACAAACCCATGTTGGCTTTTAGTAATGACTTTGTTTGCCTCTAGGTGTTCGCTGATTTGTTGTTTGATTATCTTTTCCAGAATCTTCCAAGGTATTGAGGTCAGGCTAATAGGTCTGTAATTTCCTGGATCCATTTTTCCCCCTTTTTTGAAGATGGGAACTACATCAACTCTTTTCCAGTCCTCTGGTAGTTCCCCAGTACTCCAGGATCTTTGAAAGATATAGTTCAGTGGTTCTGAGATCACATCTGCCAGTTCTTTGAGAACCTTGGGGTGTAATCCATCTGGTCCTGGCAATTTGAACTCGTCTAGGCTGGGCAGGTACTCACCATTTTCTTGCCTATCTTAACTTGTGTTTCTATTCTGTTTTTATTTTTGATAGGTTGGTCTGTTTTTTCCCTTTGTGTAAAGACAGATGCAAAAAACGAGCTAAATAGTTTTGCTTTCTCCCTATTGCTTTTGTCACCTTCTTGCCACTTTCACCCACTAATGGACCAATCATTTCCACTTTTTTCTTGTTTGATGCTTTTATTGTATAATTGATAAATAACCAACAAATGCATATTGCTATACCCTAAGAATTGCAATAATTAAAGAATTATTTATTCAAATTTATATAAATAAAAGAACTGTGGCCAAGAAATTAAAAGATGCTTGCTCCTGGGGAGGAAAGCTATGGTAAATTTAGACAGCACACTAAAAAGCACAGACATCACCCTGCCAACAAAAGTACGTATAGTCAAGGCCATAGTTTTCCCAGTTGCAATGTATGGCTGTGAAACTTAGTTTTCCGATATGTGATTGCCTTATTGTGCATCACTATTTATTAATTTGGAATTATGCATTTACATACCTGATTTGATTTCATGCTTTTAATTTTTGGCTTTGTTTGTAAACATTTTTAAAATTTAGTCTTTGATCATAAACTATTTTTAAAAAAAAGTATAATAGAAAAATTAAGACGTTGTTTTTCAGTACAAAAACAAAAACCATTTGAGAGGTCAATGCAGTTTCCTTTCTGTTTTGATGTTTTTCCAAAGGCTAGGATAGACATGAAGGCCCCTAAGCCTCTGGGTTTTGAGCTTCCTTCTATGATTTCAAATTTGTTGTGCTATATACTCAAAAGTCAAATTGCTGCTATATAAAGCTGTACTAACAAGCATTTAAAGCAGGGGTGTCAAACTGCCAGCCCATGGGTCGGACGCGTCACCAGGAAACCGTGCCCACCCCATTGTCGGCAATGGAGAAAAAGCTCCGATACATCACGTGACGTCCCATGATGTCACAAGTTTGACATGTCTGATTTAAAGGATACAACCCAAAAGAGTCTCTATGGAAGTCACAGATTACCTTCTAGAATGGAGTAAAGGTGTGGCTTTTCCAACAAAATTTTGGAGTAGGACACTTTATTATGCATACAGAGTTGTTGCTTTATAGTTCTATTTTGAATATTGTGTTTTAACGATTGGCTTAATGTGATTAAATATAGTATTTCTGTAAATCACCATAAGTTTAGAAAGAGGTATATAAATGATATAAATAATCAGGACATAACAGTCATTGTTTTAAAGATAAGAAATTACTTTAAAATCAATACACTGAAATATTTACATTTACTGTTACAAATTAATATACAAAATAATTTTTGTAAAAAATACAATAAATTTTTATTAAAATATTTGTGTATTTGGATCCATTAACAAAACTTGAAGCAATTTACAGTAAAACACACCTTACTGCTACATCAGTGGTGGTGAACCTATGGCACACGTGCCAGAGGCGGCACTCGGAGCCCTCTCTGTGGGCACGTGCACCATCGCTCCAGCCCCACCTCCCCCCCTGGCCCCCTCCTCACCAGCAGCACCCCCGGAGGACAGTCACCCCCTGGGCGCGGCCTGCAGCACAGCCAAGCACATGGCAGCTGGGCAGCAGGGACAAGACTTCGCCCTTGTGTCCTGTTGCACGCAGATGATGCTACGGGGCGCGGGTGGAGGCCATGGCCGCCATGCCAACACTCCAGGGCCACCTGGGTGATCTGCTGCGGCGGGCCGTGGTGGGTGGCCCTGTGGACGGGTTGGGGCGGGAGCAAGGGTGGGCAGGGTGGGTTTTGGGCACTGGTCTCTCAAAGGTTCGCCACCACTGTGCTACATAAACAGTATCTGCTCCCTTAAAGAGAAAAAAATAAGAGAAACCTCAGTATGAGAATTATCATCACTTTTTTCCCATTATCACCTCTTAGCCCATTCAGTGTTCAAAATATCTAATTCTTATCGAGAATTGAGCTTGGAATTTCAAACAAGGGATAGCAATTTTCTCAAAGTGCAACACTGGGGACAGATAAGAGCAGAGGAATTTTACAAGCCTCTGAACAAGGCAAGGCACATGAGCGCGTTCTGAATTTTCCCCTTGAGATACCAAATAAAAATTAAGTAGGTCATGAAACCAGCAGCAGCATTATGTGCTTTGGAGCCTAGGTTTCACGAGCAGCCCTGATTTTAGCTTGCCCCGATAACAGAATAACTGAGCGAAAACTAGGTGGCGCTGCTGAGCCACTAAACCGTCTAGACCAGGGGTAGGCAACCTCGGCTCTTTTATGACTCATGGACTTCAACTCCCAGAATTCCCGAGTCAGCCATGCTGACTCGGGAATTCTGGGAGTTGAAGTCCATGAGTCATAAAAGAGCCGAGGTTGCCTATCCCTGGTCTAGACTCTAGAGCAGCGCTAGGCACCCTTTAGTAGCCAAGAGCTATTACAGTTGCACATGGAGGGGTGTCTGTTAATGATACCGATATTTCGCTTTCTTTCCTTTTTAAAGAAATGTGCCTGCACGGGGAGAGATCGTGTAATTATCATTCATGCGGCTTTCCAAGCCATCCGTTTTTAGTCTATTGCTACCCAATAAAAGCAAAAGGACTGCATGCAACCTTTGGGGGATCGGCTATCCAGGCTCACTTGGTAATTTAGAAAAGAGAAATTAAACCTGTGACAAAATTTCCTCTTTTGTATAAAGTGCGTGCTTAGAGTTTCACTTGCCGTTTACATTCAGGAGATCCTACAGCAGAGGTCTTCAAACTTGGCCCTTTTATAACTTGTGGACTTCAACTCCCAGAATTCCTCAGCCAGGCATGCTGGCTGAGGAATTCTGGGAGTTGAAGTCCACAAGTCATAAAAGGGCCAAGTTTGAAGACCCCTGTCTTACAGGAAGCCCAGCACTCCCGATAATTACCCCCTACTGCCCCGAGAGAAAACAGCGGGACTAACGCACGCATGCTCCAAAACGCTGGGCTCGGATCAGGTTCTGCGGCACATAATAGCGACAAAAGCAGAGCTTCTGAAGCAATGCGCATGCGCATGTGATACATCGTGCTTCGTGCAACCGCCCAAACGTACATGCGCAGTAAAAAAAAAAAGGCGGTCTAGTTCCGGAATCCGTCTTCCAGCCTCGTCTTCTGACCGCCCGCAGGCGACGATTAAAGGCGTCAGGGTGACGCTAGTTGGCGGCAGTTTGAAAAGGAGAATGCGCTTTTCTTAGTTGTGATAATGTCGACGTTGAGTGCTTTTGGCAAACTCCCAACACTTAATTCTGCGACCATTTTGGTACGTATCGTGGCATCTATAAAACAATAGTTCATGCGGATAACGTCTGCGCTGCCGTCCTTTCTCCAGTTATCGGTCCTGAAGTCCTGAGCTGAAAACGGGTAAAAAAAAAGCGAATCCGGCATTCGGCCAGTGGTTCCGAGGTTTGTCTCTTTTTAGCCCAATATGGGTGATTTCAGCTTGGCACAGGAGTTGCGCTGAAACTATCCAAGGAGCAACATCCTACGGAATGATTTTGCTTATGGAGTAGTCATACCTCTCGATCCGAAGGGGAAATCTGCAAAGCAGATGAACGTCTTTGTGAGCATGAGCCTTTGTATTTATTAAGTATCCCAGGTCCCAGCAGTTGACGGCAGTTCCTTAACCTTTCTCAAAAAAAAAGAAGAGTTCCCAAAGCTTGGATTTGGCTTATACTTTGGTAAAACGGCATCTAGAATTTCCAGATGTATAGGCTAGATTGGGCAGTTGAAAAGGCATACCGGAAGCAAATCATTTCCTTAATGTTGTCAAATAAACTAAAGGAAGTATTGACAATGGCAAATTGTGTCACCTGTTATACTGAAAATAAAGACTTATCTGTTCAATTCCTCCAAGTTAATGGCTACTTTTTCTATTGAGTCTGATAAAATTCAACAAATTGGATTTGATAATAGAAGAATGAGGACACCAAAAGTATAGCAGATTGGAACTGATCACTATTTTTCTTGCAGCTATTTGAACTAACTTTTTTTTCTCATTAATAGTTGGTGGGAACAAATGATGTTTTCCAGCAGCAACTAGCAGAAACTCTTCTTAAGGAAAGACAAGATTTGAAAATAAATATGCAAGTGGTGGAAAAAATATTGCCAGAACTTCTGTTTTCACCTGCATTTTGTGGAATTCTATGGAACATTTGTAATCTAAAATGATGACTGTTGTGGTCTATGGTAAAATACCATGCTAAAAAATGAGGAAATACTATATATCAGTGGTGGCGAACCTATGGTACGGGTGTCAGAGGGGTCACTCAGAGCCCTCTCTGTGGGCACGTGCGCCATCGCCCCAGCCCCGCCTCCCCCACGGACCCCTCCTCCAAGCAGCCCCCCCCCCCGGAGGAGAGTCGCTCCTGGGCATGGCCTGCGCAGAGCAGTGCAGCCAAGGATATGGCAGCCTGGCAGCTAGCAGAAAAAGCTAATATTCAGATAAAATCATTTAAAGCTAGTACTTGAGTATAACCATACTATGTCACATTTGCCACTGTTTTTTTCTTTCTGAAGTGCTGTAGTTTAGTTTAATACTTCAGTGTTAATATTCTCTTTTCCCATAAAGCTTCTTTAGAAGAAACTTGTTGGTTTGGGACTGTTGACTGAAAATGCAAGGTTTTTTGGGTTTTTTTAGACATTTGGCAGCCTCTCTTCCTTTACCTGTGGAGAGAAACCACGTTCGACCAAGGATTGATTTGATTGTCTTTATGATTAACATTCAAAGCAAATACAGGTATGAACAGAAATAACATATTTGACAGAAAGGGAAAAGGGATTTGTTTGTTTAATTGCTAATGTAATTGCAAAGTGTAATAAACTCAACGGGAACATACGTTTACTTATTTGCATTGAATAGATTTGAAAGCTATAAGCTCTCATTTTTAAATATCGTTCTAAAGTATGTAAAATTAGGTACATTAGGTATGTTCTCTGGCTTGAACTATTTATAAAACAAAATAGGGATAAAAATCTAATAAGTTAGAATGAAATCCCATTTAATTGCTAATATTTAAATAATAGGTTTTATTTCTTCTAAATTTGAATATTATCTAAAGAAATTTGCTCCTTTAGGAATTCAGTAACATAAAAGAGGTTATGCAGAAATTAAAAGAGCAATGATTTTCTAATTGAAATGTAAATAAAAAATCCTTTGAAACATAAGCATCTGTTCACTAATGGGACCTCTTTCTTTTTCTTATGATTTATTAAAAGCTGTAATCATTAGATCATGAATATAGCAAGGTATTTTTTTTGCATTTGTAAAAAAATAGCCCTGCATTTTGTTTCCTTTTATTTGCTTTTTTGCCAGTTTTGAAGAAATAGAAGCTTCCCTTATACATGTAGATGCAAACTTTTTCCTTGGAAAAGTGTGCCTTCTAGTTACTGGTGGTATGTATGAGATACATTTGCTGCTTAAAACAATCCATCAAATCTAACTCTACTTGGCAGGCAGTCCATTCTATTTGACAACCTTTACCTTACCTCAAATGTAGCAGGTTGCTACTTACATTCTGACAGCTAACTAGCGCTCCATCTTGCATACTTGTATACTTTTACTTAATAATCCATGACCATTTAGCAATTTGTTATACCAGGATTTTTATTCAGGCCTGAAATATAAATTCTTACTGTTTTTACCAATAATTTATTATTGATGATATTAAATAAAAGAAACAAAATAATATCATACCTGGAAAAAAATATGACTGGAAATATCTTCTTTTCTTATCTTTTTTTAAAAAAATAGTAGGTAGAATGAATAAAATAAGTGTGGATATGGATGCCATCTGGAAGCTAGCAAATCGCTACTGTAGCCCTGTCTTGCTCTGTGAGCTTGAAGTAAGACCTCTTGTTTTTTAAAAATATATATAGTTGTATATCTTCCCTTGGCAAACATCCTTCTTGTTTCTGTTTCCAGTTATTGGATCACTGTGTCTATTAGCCTTCTCAGTGTTCATTTAACAACCTGGCAAAAGTAGAGCAAAGTTATTTCATGTTTTTTCCCCATTGTCAATTTATGAGAAGCTGTATGCTAATCATTTAGTTTTTTCTACCTTGCCCAATGGGTTCCTTGGAGAAGTTGACATGATATTGCCAAGGGGCACATGTTGCCCTTGATCTGCAAGTTCCTACCTTTGGGTTATTTTTTGAATTATAAAAATAACCAGGGCTTTTTTTCTCATAGAACGCCCAGAACGAAGTTCCGGCACCTTTTTTTTTTTTTTTTTTTTTAGAAAAAAGCACTGAAAATAACCAAGTATGAGGAAAGCTTATGGTCAATTAATTGATTTCACTAATAAAAATAAAATAAATATAATTCTTGTGCTTGCCCATAAAGTATTGTAGTTGTGAAGAGTTGCTTTTGCCCTACTCAGTATCAAGGTGAAATCTTCCTGTGGCTTTTCCAGAAGATGGTGATACGGAATAATCATGATTAATGTAACAATGAAATAATTTCAAAATTTTGGGCTTGGGATGAAAGAGCTATCATAGTGCAGTTGCTCAGATTACTACTCACCCTAACCTTAATTACTCACCAAATAGTGGCAGCACATCTATCACAAATAAATCTTTAATCCTACTTTTAATTACAATAAAGTAGCAGTAATGAAAAAATAAGCATTTTGCACTTCACATTTTCAGTTGCTTGCATTAAGCTTTGTACAGGTAGTACAAAGTATTATGCTGGTAGTCCTTGACTTCGATCACAGTTGGGACGAGAATTTTTGTTGCTAAACAAGGTGGCTATTAACTGAGTCGCACCCATGTTTACAGCCTTTTTTACAATGGTTGTTAAGTGAATCACTGCAGTTATTAAGTTAATCACATGATTGTTTAGCAAATCTGGCTTTCCTGACTTTGTTGGAAGCCAGCTGGGAAGGTCACAGATGGTGATCACATCACCTCAGGATGCTGCAACTGTTGTAAATACATGCCTGTTGCCAGGCATCCAAATTTTGATCATGGGACGATGGGAAATGCTGCAATAGTCATAAATGTGAGGACCAGTCATAAATAACCTTTTTCAGTGCTGTGTCTATGGAGATTCTGAGTCATCCCGTTCATAGTTGTCTCAGAGGTGCTTTTTCAAAGGCAACTGGACTGTTTTTTCTTTGAGAAAGAAGCAGCTTCGCTTCTCATCCAAGAAGCTACATCCGTTGTGATGGTGGAGGAGGGATGGAAGGACAGGCTCTGACAGGATGATGGGGCAGGAATGGAAGATGGTGTTTCTTTGCAGTTACCTGGAAACTTAGCAACTTGAAGCAGATGCTAAACAAATAGTTGTAAATTGAGAACTACCTGGCAGTAATTGACCGTAACTGGCAGTACCTTTTATCCGGCAGATGATGAAACTGGGTACAGTAATTAAGTACAAGTGGCCTTTTGGATTTATGCATTTTTGCAGAACAAGGATATATTTGATTGTTTCCCCTGTCTTTGTATTAGGTAACAATTTTATATACATTTTTAAAAGGTTGTTTCATGTTTTGTTTTCCTCTTTTCAGTATGAAAAAATCAGAACTGCCACAGCTCAGAGACTTCTCCGGATGTTACAAATATGCGCTGGTCATGTATCAGGGATGTCTTCCCTTTCTTTCAGTTCTTTAATGAAATGCTCCATTGAGGACTCAAGTTATTTGGCATAAAACATTATTGTATTTTCCAGTTTTACTATCTGTGATTTCTGAGTGAACTGAATATAAGCATCACTCTGTCAGAAATAAACCTTACCTACTATTTTTTCATATGGGATAGGAGCTGGTAAAATAGTCTTAAAGGAGCCAAATTAACCTGGACTTGTCAGGAATTATGATACCTTCTTCTCAAAGCCTAGTTCTCAGTTATAAAACAGTTGGCGTATATATACACAGGTATAATACATGGAAACTGTGGTATTTCCAGAATGAATTGCTAGAACAAGTTTCTCAATGCCATTTACATACAGATAAATACCTCCAGTATCTTCAGGATCTTCGTGAAGAAAAGTGTTTCTCACAGATATGTATATCAAGCAAAATCTACAGCATGTAGAACATGTATTATTCTGAGCAGAATCTCAGTGACAGGTTGGGCAAAAAAGAGCAGATATTTGATTAATTATTAAAGAGCAACTGGCCTTTTGGATAATTAGAGATACATATCCAATGCAACTGAACTATATTTCCACTCACAATAACAAAAAGGATTCAGAAAATTGGAGGGTTTAGCATTAAGATGAAATTTCATTGAAAAGGGCTGCAAATAGCACATCTTTTTAAAGACTTTTGTGTGGAAAGCAAATAATTTTTTTCAGAAGAGTAGCTTTGCTTTCTTTTTAGTACAAATTTTTATTTTGTTCAAAACATTAAAATATAGTGCACATTCCAAAAAATGGGGAAGAGGGAGAAAATAATACAAAAGCAAAACAAACTAAACAAGACTATAAAAAAGTGCATACAAATCCAAACATATACATAAACTGTCCCCCCAGTTGAATACTAATACATATATTTCAAAGATAATAACTTCTTGCGAAGCAGGCACGCCATTTATAAATTTCTACAACATTATTTAACCAATCCACTTAGCCTTACATCTATCTATTATATGGAAACATAATAAAAAACCAACAGCCAAAATAAACTTCAAAGACCTGTTAACAGTCAATGTATTTTACTCACAGAAAGTCCACAATGGCTTCTGATCTACTGTAAGTCACTACCATCAGTCCAGAATCAAATATAAGTCTTTAAAAATCTAGCTCTTTCAGAGTCCTTTAACCATCTTTTATCTTCTTTGCCTACCTTATCCAGGTCTGCCAGCGGCAAATTACATTCCAATCCAGGTTATACATCTGATTGTATTGCTGTTACTAGCATCTGGTTATCATCCTCAAGTGGATTTAAAATCATTTATTTCATCAAGCTTTAAAAAAAATCCAGGTTTTCAAGTTGGGCTTATAAGCTAAGAAATATTCTTTTTTCCCAATTTTTCCAAAAAGCCGTAAGTTAGTATACTGCTTCCATTTTGATTATATTTTAATATAGCCCAAGATCCTTCAATAGCTGAGCTTTTACAGCCAGCCATAAGGAGCTCACAAAGATAGAAGCACTATAGCAAATTAACCTGGAAGAACACTGAAAAAAAACTTCAGCATAAAAAAGAGGTTTTCGTAAAAAATTAAGACCAGAACTTTTAAAAATGTATAAAGTATGAAATCCCTGTAGTGAAAGTTCAATACAAATGTAAATCAAATCAAATCTTCACTACCCAGTATTTACCATATTCCATGAGGAGAAAGGAAGTAATTTAAGACAGCTAATAAAGCAATTAAAAAGAACTCAAACCTACTTTAAAATCGAGCAGAGGATTAAATTAGATCAGCATTTAACCAGTCAATTGACATTTAAAAGTAAAAATTTTAAGTAAAAATTTTGTATGATTAGTAAAAAAAAGTAAAATAAAGAAAAAATATCAAAATGTGCTGTTAAAATCCAGGTGTTCTTAAAACAGCAGACAGTTGGAAAGAAAAGATGGAGACTCAGTCCTCTGACCGCTCTCACTGAAAATTGCAACCTTCTAGCTAAACAGTATAAAAAAACTGCTATTCTAGGGCATAGAATAGAAGTTAAATAGAAGCGCTGTAGGAATGTAATGGCCACCTTTTGTCCTAAATCATGATGAGCTCTTTTATTTTGCTGCTTTAGAATCGATGAAGGCAGCATAGAAAGATGCCACCTTGTGAGAGGAATTTTTTCAGTAAATTGCTAGAATATTATGCACCAATAGGTCATGACTAGCCTTCCCTGGAGCTAGCCTGCTCATCTGCAGGTAATTTACCTGCTCCAGCCAATCCTGGAATTTCCATGCTAGGTGTCTTATGTCGAGCTTGTGTTGAGCTGCCTGATAGTTTGTCATTTTTAGTGTTGACATTTCTACCATTTTAGACATACAGTAGGAATGATCCTCACTAGCTCCACATGGAATTTGACACAGATGTAGATAAAGATCAAAGCTAAAGTGAATTCATAACATACTTTCAAAACTGTGCCCACCAGTCCAGAAAGATTTGATTCACTTGCTGTACTCATTGTACTAGTTCATGCCTATTTAGCATGAACTTGTTTTTCTCTATACTTGAATGTGTACATGCCAAAGCACTTATTCAAAAATGATTGGGCTGCAATAACTTTGGCAGAAGAAATTCACTTCCCTCTTTGTTATTCATTTGGTTTCTTCCACAAGGTTTCTTTGGACAAGATAGTGGTACTCAATAAGCAATTATACAGCTACAGTTTTAAGGTAGAAACAGAACGTAGCCAAATACAAGTAGTCCACAACTGAGCCCAAAATTTATGTTGCTAAGTGAGACAATTGTTAAGTGAGTTTTGCCCCATTTTATGACCTTACTTGCCACAGTTGTTAAGTGAATCATTGCAGTTGTTGAGTTAGTAGCACAGTTGTTAAGTGAATCTGGCTTCCCCATTGACTTGGCTCATCAGAAATTTGCAAAAGTTGATCACATGACTCCAGGACATGACAACTGTCGTAAATATGAACCAGTGGCCAAGCATCCGAATTCTGATCACATGACCATGGGGATGCTACAATGATCATAAGTGTGAAAAATGGTCATAAGTCACTTTTCAGTGCCATTGTAACTTTGAATGGTCACTAAACGAACTGTTGTAAGTCAAGGACTACCTGTAGTCAATATTGATTCTGGCTACTCTGATGATTTCATTCTTCTCTCTCATCCATTTGTAGCTAACCATATGAGAGCTAATTATGGGGAGATTTAATATACTGTTGACACTTTGAATTCAGTATTTCATTAGTTTCACAGAAATGGGTTTGGAAGGAGCAAATAATGTTGAGATGTTTGTGTATGCAGCAATGTTCTACTCTTCATCTTCCAAATTAACATTTTATAACATTGTAGTGCTTGCTTCTACACTTTAATTAAAAGTAATGGGCCTAGCTAGGCCCTTTTTACAACTTTGCCCCTCTAGAGCTTTCACAATAACAATTCTTCAAAGCTTTCTTATCTCTACAAGTTATTTTTTTTTCTAAATGTGTCTGTTGCTACCCTGCAATTGGAGAAGACTCTCATGAAAGTGGAGGCTAAATTGTGGCTGGCCATACTTAGCTGTCACCTTAGATTAACCGTCTTCCCCCTGTTCTTTCCATCCCCAACTATGAGTGATGCTTTCCAATCCGACTGAAAAGAAATAATTATGACTAAATCCCACTCTGTGGCCTATTTGTGTCTATCCTCCTTAATATGGGTTATGAGCAGGCCAAAATTATCATTAAACAGTGGATAACAGTGCCAGTCTAACTTCATCAGTGAAGATCCCAGGTAATTCCCCCCCCCATGGCAAACCGAAGGGCCTTTATTTTTTCATGATGTCATTGTTCTCCCTCAACCATGCATGAGGCACAATGCAGAAACACTATTCTCAGAATGGTAATGCCCTTGCAATCCTGGGCATAGAGGAACACTGTAGCATGTTGTCCTCCAGTGCTCACATTAAAGAGATACATCAACTTCATCCTCAACAAGAATCCAGGGTACATTTGGACATTTCTCTGCTAGTCTCGGGCAACAACTGGGCCACAACATAGAGTGTTGTCAGTACACAACAGTACACAAAATCTGCTCGATGATGACTTCTTAGCCTCATCTAGATGTACATGCCTGTAATCTGCTACCACAGAAAGTTGTACAATCTAACAGATAGTGCAGTCTCTTTAGGTCGGGGTAGGCAACCTTGGCTCCTGCTGGCTCAGGAATTCTGGGAGTTGAAGTCCACGAATCATAAAAGAGCCAAGGTTGCCTACCCCTACTTTAGGTTATCCTATTTTCAGTCAACATTGTATATTTTGTAACTTCTATGTAACTTTTTATGCCTCCCTATGCCTTCCTGTGCCTTTTAATATGTTTTACACTCCTATGTCTTCTTTTATTGACTATTCCTTCCTCAGGCCTATTCTGGTTTATAACTGTAATAAGGATTTTTGTTTTCCCCCCCAAATTGGTATGGGGCTCTGGAAGCCGAGAAGATGCCCATGGGCACCATGGTAGCCCAGGCTCCATATATTGTATTAGGCTAAGAAGACGATCAACTTTATTCATATATTTTGGTGAGCATAGTGATGAGGACATGCCGTTTTGAACTCCCAGAATAAATATAGAAAGTAATAATTTAAAAAAATAACTGCAGATTAATCTCTCTCTCTTTCTCTCTCCCTCCCTCATGCATGCACGTATGCACATACCGTTATACACAAAAACAAAAGTACAAATTGTAATTTTTACTATAACCTCAGGATGGCGATAGGAGACTTATTAAATGCATGTAATTAAATTTAAAAATTTCAGGCTGCTTCTTTAATACATGCTACGATGTCTAATACAGCAGTAAGATGTCAATTCTTTAAAGAATTACATTATAAATGTATTAATAGTTTAATAGACTATCTGTACCATTTGTATAAAAATAACTTCTTCAAAGTTGTAACTTTTTCTTTATTTTACTGTCCTATCTACCCTGAAAGAATAAAGCTATGATAGTTAAGATTTATCAGCTGTCATATCGCTAGTTTGGGTTCTTACTTGTATTTATGCAAAATCTGTTCAAATGCTCAGAAGATAATAGTTTTATCCATGTGATAATAACAAGAAGTGAACTGAATTTACTCACAATCAGATTCATTCATTAATGGAATATCCCCGCAG